TCCATTTGAAAAATCAAAGTTGCTACTGCTTTCTAATAGAAGCGGCAACACCGCATTGTCGAAAATATTTTAGTTGGCTAGAGAATGTCCGAATATGCCCTCCATTAAATTTTCAAAGTGATCCGTTGTCTGGTTCACCAGAAACGTCTAATGTGCCATCCACCGTGAATCAGCCTGTATATTGTGTTCCGTATATTAAATAAGAGAGAGCACGAAACAAACATGCACCGTCACCAACAATAGGGACGACAGTACATTCTTAAACTTATCCATCAACGTTCAGATTTTCTTTAGCTATTTTAAAAAAGTCTAACCGATGAAACCTAACTTAAACCAAACAAAAACAAAACAAATGCCAAATAGAGAGCAGAGTCTATAACCAAAAGTACTGAACCGAAACAAAGCAAATGCAATCCAAAATATGCCAAGAAAAGAACAGCCAAAATATAATCTGCTAGAAATATTTAGGTATAGTATGTACTATTAGGGTAAAATGGGGGAATGGCGGTCACTTAAGCAGGAATCGAAATAACTCATTTCTTATATGAGCAAAGGCCAAAGTGATTTACTTACTGAATAGCTAATTCACTTCACTTTCTGTATATAAAATACAAATACAAAGCTTTGTATAGTTTTTTATACTTTTATGCCTTTTAGTAAAGCTTTTATTGACCGCCATTACCCGGACATTAGGGTAATGGCGGCCATTAGGGTAATGGCGGTTAGCAGGGGAGGTAATGCCAGTCAGTCATAAAATATAAGGTTCATTCTAAGGTTTGCTTGATAACCTTCCATTTTTTATCACAATAATCACATGCATATTTATCAGGGGAATCACAACCGGAACAATTTTTGTGAGCCCACTGCCCACAACTTCGGCATCTATACCAAACCTCATTCTTTCCGAACTATTTACAGATGCAACATATCTCTTCTTCATTTCCTGAAGAAATATCGTCAACATTATTGTCGTAACAAACATTTTCAAAACGCCTTTTCTTTTTTGAAGCCAAAAGTTCCTCATCCGTGGAAGAAAATTCTGAACTGATTTTTGATGCCTTGATATTCTTGGATTGTCTTGTCTTGACATTCTTGGCTTGTTCTTTAGTGTTTTTTTTTGTAACCTTTGTTTTCTTCTGACCAGATTTATAGCCAGTTCTCTTATTCTCCTTCATTACTTTTTCTTGTCGTTTTTTTCCCTTTATTTCTAATTCTTCTTTTACAGGTGTTGCTGTCAATATGGCGGAGTGTTGTTTGGTTTTCACACGTTTTGTAGCTTTTGTTGCTGTTGGAAGTGGCAAGGGAAATAGTATAATTTTACTTGGCNCACTTCGACTGCTGTCATTTCCCGTGCCACGGGATTTTTCCTTACCACAGCTGTAAAATATATATAACTATTATATACCATGTATTTTTATTTTTTAAATTGTCGAGGGTTTATGAGAATGTTCTGATGAAAAAACCTGTTAACATCACAAATTCTTCTCAAAAGTAACGTTACTTGCAGGTATACTAGATGGAAGCACTGGTATTTTTAATGAGATGTTTCGGGAAGATGGATATCTGGAAACTGACCGGCATTTCCCACTGACCGCCATTCCCCCATTCTACCCTAGATACGGCGGCCACTCATCATCGGGTATATGTAACTCAATGAAAAAACAACGATAGCGTGTTTTAAAATACCACTAACATCATCTATTGTCAACATTCAGAACTAAAAATTATATTATTCGTCTTGTTTCGGGAAGATGGATATCTGGAAACTGACCGGCATTTCCCACTGACCGCCATTCCCCCATTCTACCCTAGATACGACGGCCACTCATCATCAGGTATATGTAACTCAGTGAAAAAACAACGATAGCGCGTTTTAAAATACCACCAACATCATCTATTGTCAACATTCAGAACTAAAAATTATATTATTCGTCTTAATTTATTCCTTCCATTGGGTACTGATAGATTCAAACATCCTCCATCATCCCTTATTTTATCCCCTTAGGGGTGGAATTTATCAAAATCCTTTCTTAGGGGATGCCTACGTCATAGTAGCTTTATGCGTTCAATCTCTCAGCCCGATCGGTTCAAAATTGACAAAGTTCCATACAAACGTTCATCCCCTCTTTAATCCCCTTGGGGGTAGAATTGATCAAAATTCTTTCTCAGCGGATGCCTACGTCATAACATGTACCTGCATGCCAAATTTCAGCCCGATCCGTCCAGTGGTTTGGGCTGTGCGTTGATAGATCACTATGTCAGTCATCTTTGAGTTATACATACATTGTATATATTTGGAGAAGATTGTGTCCTTCACGTTCTTGGACATCTCCATATATGTTGGTTATGATCGGTGGCAGTGGAAATCTCATTTGGAGTCGAACGACTCATGTGAAATAGTCGATGAACTCAGCAGTGAATCCATTTTATCGTGTTAATGAAGACCCCAATAATAGTTTCCGGTTAACCGGTAGAGCATTGATATATTTTTAAAGTAGCTGAATATTGAAAAGTAGAAATATTTTCAGATTGAGAGAATTTTCAGAAGTAATGCACGGTATGAAGGGCACATCAAACTTTCCACAAAATCACCAAATAGCTATAAATTGGTGTTTAAGCGTTTATTGAATTTGTTAAGCTATCTGTTTGCCGATGTTCATATGACGAATTGATATTCATTGAAAAGTAGAAATATTTTCAGATTGAGAGAATTTTCAGAAGTAATGCACGGTATGAAGGGCACATCAAACTTTCTACAAAATCACCAAATAGCTATAAATTGGTGTGTGTTTATTGAATTTGTTTAGCTGTTTGCCGATGTTGATATGACAAATTGATATTCAAGTCCTCTGATCTTGGACAAATCGATTCGTAAGTTTCTATGAAGTTTTCAGAGATATACCGAATTGACCTTCTGAAACTTACTCATTAAACCTGTAGATGGTTGAACGATAGGAATTGAAAGGAATTCTCATAGACCATTTTTAAACAAAGGTGCAAGTACTTACATATTGTTACAATTACATACATGATTTTGGATTTTGAAAGACGTTTACTGATGAAAATATTATAAGCTGACAATTTACTAGAAATTTCAATTTTACTTCAGAACAAAATGTTTTCTTCGGTAATGAATACTTCCAAGTTAACATTGGTGAGTTCGCAGGTATCCAATGTTTTTACTAGGTGACTGTAAAGAGCCATATTTGCGTATTTGTGTATTTAACAGTTCAATCAATAATCATCCAATAACGAAACAGTTACTCAACTGTTAAAAGGTGTGAATCATCTGTATTTTTTTTTCATTCATTTTCTTATTTTTCACTTTCTATATTGTTTGATACTTCAGTTTTCAAATAAAAGGAACATAATGACAAATTAGTTTTGAGAATATGATTACGTCATTAATCGAGGGTCCTACTGACCAAAAATCATCAAAATCTCAAACTTTTATGAAAAAAAAAACTTTACAATACAGTTTATTGCATGATTTTCACTACAAGGGTTTTTAAAAAACCGCGACACGTGTTTCGCAACACAAGCTTCTTCAAGCATAAACTGAGAGTTACTTCTAAACAATAAAAACAATAAAAATTAATTGGCGCTCCGGGGCGACTTCATTGATTCCAGTGGAGCATTTGCTTTTTCAGCTGCAGGAAAACCAGGAAAAACCTGCAGTACCACATCATCTGAAGATTTTGATCTAACAATGTCCTCTCTCTTATAAAACAAAATGTAGGGTGTCTCCAGAGGCTCCAATAAATTCAACAATGCATCGCCAGAACACTTCGTGACACGACTATCGTCAAACTTAAACCAGTCCGTTTCTTCTTTGACCAAGGCGTAATAATGACCAAATTCAATGCCAGAACCACAGTGAACAATGACTGCATGAATATTATAATAGTGGTTTGCTAGGTTGAAATGTTCAGCTATTTTGAACCTTCCAAAGAGTTTCTTGCTTCCGTTAGAGGTTGAGTCTTGTTTGAAAATCATCAGTGTTATTATTAGATTGACTGGTGCCTCAGCTATACTTGTTTCCTTATAACAGTTAGTTAGTTAGTTTGGCGCATGTATACATACTGTATTGATTAGTTTTTCAATATGGATTTTCATTAAGTATCGGCCAGTTCTGTTCAAAATTTTATGAATATTATCATTTTCAGCAAGTGAGAGTTTCCACAAAACCAGATCCCTTCGTCCAGCTTCAACTGGGAAGACAATTTAAACATACCAACGCCATTATGAGGACCGCCAACCCAGTATGGGAAGAAAGTTTCATTTTTTTAGTGGGTAATCCTGATTCTGATTACTTGAACTTGAAGATAATTGATTCGAAAACAGGAACCGAACTCAATGAAATCAACTATAATCTCAGCCTTCTTTCCAATAAGGATAATTTGGAAGTTGTGAAAGAACCAATTCGATTAGAAAGTGGAAGAAATGATTGCAAGTTGATCTGGTCACTTCATTTAAAGGTAAACAAGATGATTTGAATAAAAATAGTCAAATACATTTCAAACCTTCCTCCTGGAAATGGAGGGGCTTGAATTAATAGTTTAACTCATGACCCTCGGTGAATAAATGAGTGACATATGTGGAATTTATTTTTCATTCTGGAAATCATTCCTGTTTTCCATTATGCGTGCGAACATCCTTCCAGTTTGACCTATATAAAACATCGGACATGACCCACATACACTCCCTATTTTTCTGAAACTGAACTTCTATCTTTGTTATTCTTAATGTGCATGCTTAAGTTGTTGGTTTTGAAATCAATATTTACACCTTTGTTGTGAAGAACATTTGAAATATTCGTAGTGGGTTGGCCTAAGTAGATTAAGCTTGGCTATAAAACTTTTTTGATAATAGAGAATGTATCAGACGGCTATCGTAATCATTGCTAATGGCGATTTCTTTTATTATGTTCAGTTTTTTATTGAAATTCGCCCCTGAAAAGAAAACTTTTATTAATCTGTGGATCATACTGTGCTGATAAATTGTGCTGATGAATACATTTCGAAGGATTTGTAATAAATGCCGTTGCGATAGTTAACGAAAAATATAATTTAATTCATAAAGAGCGGGGTCGGTCACTTGATTTTTCGATATCAATACTTCTCCAATAGAGTAAGCGTTGAATTCAATTTATTATTGTTGAACCTTATCGTCATCATGAAGATTATGTTTCGTTCGGCTAGACTAAACAAACATACCCTGTTGATGAGTTATAATACTGGGAACGCGTAAATGCAAGCTACGAGTTTGCATTTCATCTCCGTGGACAGGAAGTTCGGCCATATCTGAATAGGTGGGTCCGAAAATTGATTTAAAATAAAAACTGACCAATGACTTCGATAAAAAGAAAATATAGGTCTTGAGTAGGCAGGGTTATGGAAAAATTCGGGAATATTAACCAGATATTAGACCAATCAAGGGACGGTACAGGGGAGGCGTGTTACGGACAGTTTTTCGGACTTGGGAATACTGAGGAGTCGGTTAATTGGGACAGTTGCGGAAGAGGGTCGCGAAACAGAGGGTCGATCGGACAGTTGCGGAAGAGGGTTGTGAAACGGTCGCGAAAGTCAGTTGCGGAAGAGGGTCGCGAAAAGGGATTTTGCGATAGAGGCGTTCTGAAAAGAGTTCTTGGCGAAAGAGAGTTGCGAAAGTTAGTTGAAAAGTCAGTTGCGAAAAGATTCCTTTGCAATCGAGAGTTAATTTGGGAGAGTCGCGAAAGTTAGTTGCGTCAAAGGACTATCCGAAAAGGGATTTTGCGATAGTGGAATTACGGTAAATTGCGGTCTGTGAGTTAATTGTTGTTTCGTTTGGTGACACGGATCAGTATTTCACACGGATACCGTACCAGAGAGAGAGAGACCAGAACCCAGTATAGTATCGTGAGTCAATTTAGATTTTTACTAACCCCCATGTTGGTTTAGAGAGAGAGAGAGAGAGAGGATGTCATTTCACTTTTGTAATAATTGTCTTATTGTTGTTTCGTCTTGGGGACGATATAATAAGGGCAAAAAATTACACTACACCCCCTTCATATGTGTAAATATAATATCAAACACGGGTTTGAAAGTAAAAAATAGTACGGCGGCCAGGCAATTTCAAATAATCATTTCAGAATTTCCGCAATACTCGAATAGAGTAATTTAGTGACTTATAAATCTAATATGTTGGGTTTTTTGATAATACGCCCAGAAACCTTAGATCTAACAATAGGTATAGCTGTGGATTCATTATTAGATTGAACATTATCTGAGAGGTCACTCACTTTCAAAGAAGCTCTTCTTGAAGGACTTTTCTCTACATCAGCTGACACATCACTTTGGATATCAATATGCTTATGTTTTGAGTCACTATTTACAATGTCAGACCCAGACACAACAGGATGATAATTATTTACAGACTCTCTAAGATCAAATCTATTTCTTATTACTAAATTACAATGTTTATCACAAACCATATTTGACCTTGGTTTTTCAGTTGATTGTACAATTTTTCCTGGTTCTCATTCTTTATTAATATGGTTGAATACAGTTGCAATATTGCAATAATGCCTCAAATATATATTTGCCTTCTTCTAACGATTTTTTAAGCATTTTTTCGCAATATTTACAGCTTTTTCCGCTAATCCGTTTGATTTTGGATAATTTGGGCTTCGAAAGACAATATCAAAATTACACTCCTTAGCAAATTATTTAAAAATTAAACTATTGAAGGGTACATTATCACACACAACTTTATCTGGGGGGCAAAATTCAGAAAAAATCATTTTTAATTTTCACCTCACCTTTTCACCTCAGGAGCTGATTTATTCTTCATAGACATAAGTTCTAACCAATCTGAATATGCATCCATGATAAGAAGGTATGACTTATTTCCATAAGAGAAAATATCTGTTCCAATACGTTTCCAAAGATCTTCAGGAATGGGATTAGATTTCAATTTTTCTTTGCTATTTTTTCGAGTATGTTTTTCGCAAATTCAGCATCTTTTAACATAATTTTCAATTTTTCGACTCATAAGAGGCCAATAGAAAATTTGCCTAGCACGAGCTTTCACTTTTTCTATTCCCAAATGTCCTTCATGGAGTTTATCTAATATATCTCCTCTTAAACTTTTAGGAACAACTAGCTTATGATTGAAGAATACTAAGCTTTCAGATATCGATAACTTATCTCTAAGCTTATAAAGATTAATAACACTTTCTGGCACTTTCTTTCTAGAAACCGGCCATCCTGTCTGTATAAAATTCATAATAGTTTGCAATTGATCATCTTCTGTTGTCATTTCTTTAAACAGAATCTTTTTTTGTTCCGACTTTGACAAATAATTATGTAGATACTGTACATAGTACTCTAAGTCTAAGTTTCCTGTGGGCTCAGAATTAGTTAGAAAGGCACGAGATAATGTTTCCGCAATGTACAAATACTTGCCTGGCTTATAAGTGACTATGAGATTATATTTAAGAAGTTGTAATAGCATTCGTTGGAGTGTGGGTGATACAGATGGTAAACTTTTTTAAAAATTACCTCCAACGGTTTATGATCTGAATAAACCTTTACATTTTGTACTCCATATATAAAGTACTGAAACTTTTGACAACTGAACAAAATTGCTAATAATTCTTTCTGAATCTGTGCATATTTGATTTCCCTCTTGGTCATACTTCTAGAGGCAAGCTACTGGATACCCGTTTTGAAGTAAATATGACTCAATACCATCTCTGATGAATCTGTTTCAATTTCAATGGGCAAAGATGGATCAAAATATGCAAGGACAGGGGCTTTTGTTAACAAGTGTTTGAGTTGTGATAACGATTCCTTGTGATCTCTTACCCAATCCCATTCAACGTCTTGTCTTGTTAAGTTCCGTAGTGGAGCAGTAACTTTGGATATATTTGGCACAAATTTTGATAAAAACTTGGCCATGCCAAGCAATCCTAATAAATCTGTTGAATTTCTAGCTCTTGGAATATCAGTAATGGCATTTACATATGACTGGCATGGTTTGGACTGGCATCTTTGGAAAAAAATTTGACCAAGAAATTTCACTTCTTTTGATTCAAATTGAATTTTAGATTTATTAAATTTGACATTGTATTTTGACGCTCTATCTAATACTTTGCCTCTGTTTCACCTGCTATAATTAATTCATCGAAATACAGTTGAATACCTTCAATATCTCCAAAGAGTTCAAATATTTTCCTCTGAAAAACTTCTGGTGCTGAGCTTATACCGAGTGGAAGACGACAAAATTGGTAGCGACCAAAGGGTGTACCAAAGGTACAATACTTAGATGATTGATCATCAATTTTTATCTGAAAATAGCCATCTTTCATGTCTAATACTGTGGAAAAAGATTTTTTTGTAAGTTTGCTAGCAATTTCGTCGGCTGTCAGAATCAAAAAATGCTCAAATGTTCACCATCTTAGGATCAAGACACAACCTCAAATCTCCATTCCTTTTCTCTACAATAACTAATGGATTTAGCCATTCAGTAGGCTTTTCAACTTTTCTGAATATACCTTGACTCTGAAGATCATCTAACTTGTGCTTAACTCGGTCATGAAGTGCTTGAGGTATATGTCTTACTGTTTGAACATGTGGTACACTATCCTTTTTTAAAGTGATTCAATGCTCATTTGGAAAACAACCTAATCCTGAAAAAACTTGAGAATACAACTTAACTACATCATCAACACTATTAAAAGTTAGTGTACAACTGTCAATTCTCCTAATTAAGTTTAGTGCTAAACATCCTTTCAACCCTAACAAAGGCATCTGATTTTCACTATCTACCACTACAAATGGTGAATATTCACAAATATCTTTTACACTACATTTCAAGGAGATTTCTCCTACAGGTCTGATTTTGAAATCGGGGCTGCCATATGATATTAATGTCAATTTTGCTTCCATCATCTACGCACGAGGGCCTATCTTCTTCAATACGCTTAAAGGAAGCACAGTCACCTCAGCCCCGGTACCTAGTTTGAAGTTGACTGCTTTACCTTCTACTGATACTTGCTTGGTCCACATAGATTCCCTATTTGCCTGCACTTCATCAACTCTCTTTTGCAAAGAGCTTACAAAGAAACTCTCATCCTCACTCTCATTTTCAGAGTCTTCACCTACCTCCACTTGGCAAACTTGTTGTTTTCTGCTTTGGCTTGACGATACCTGTTTTCTTCTGCATACACTTGCATAATGATTTTTGCCTAGACAAACATCACAAATTTTTTCATAAGCTGGGCACTTTGTGATGACTGTAGCCATAGTACTCACACTTTTTTTCTCCTGTTTTATTGTGATTTTTAGTGCTAACTGCACTGACCACTGCTTCTGTTTGTAAGGATTTTGCCTGAGATTTGCTAGCCTCAATTGCTCTACAAATATATATTGCCTTTTGCAATGTTAGGTCCTTTTCTCTTCCCATTCCCCAAAAATTCCCATTACTATTCTGTCCC